CACCTAAGTGTCTGGGAGCGATTAGGTCAGTTTTGGTTATATTTTGCATCCTTCTTCGGCATCTCTTTCTACGTGATGAATAAGATTAAAGATTATCTTTTTGGCCGACACATTATTCGAGCTTGGGAAGTTATACCTTGGAAAAAGCTTTACTGACACGGGCGTGAATGCTTAGCAGAAGATACCATTGATTTAGATGATTTCTCTACATCTGTTATGTACTAAATATAAAAAAATTTATGTAGTAAAAAATACTTCTGTTCCATTTTCTATGATATGCAGAGTTCTATTAAATCAGACTTTAATAATGCATCAACTAATGTGTTTTCAATATTCAGTGCCCTTTGATAATATCAACATAAGTATGCACAAACGTAATTCTAATTGAAGTGTATTTATCATGAGACGCGTAATTGTTAAAAATGTATTCAAATTTAAAATTAGGTGAAATCAAACTACATTGAACTTAGCATTTAAAAAAAAATATTGCCGCATATTATAATAGCTGTCATCGATTCGCCACTTCGCCACAAATTTTGTCTGTGAAAGCAACAACAAAGTTAGCTAGCAAGGACGATATCGAATTTGGTTATACTGCATCGAGTTTGTTCGTTTCGACACTGGCTAACTGTTGGAGAATCGATGTCTGCTAATATACATAGGTGTATATTATGTGGTTGAGCATTAAACCACAAATTCAAATTCTTGTTAACCATTTTCACGCTTAATTATTCGACATAAGTATTGGCACTTTGTATCATTTTTTCTGAAAAGAGGTGAAATCCAAACTTTCAGAATCGATAAGGCTTTTTGCTGACGCCGGACTCGGATCATAAGCGCGATTATCTTCAATTATTATCGTTGTATGCGGGTAGTAATCAAGTTGGACAAATAAATACCGATATTCCATTTTTCCTGACGGTGTCTAATAAAGTATAATAAAAAACTGTAAAACGCTTAATTGAAAATTGGACATACTTCATACAAGTACCTTTCGTGATTCCAAATGCACAGTGCCTCGGTTCCGTATACCTTGAACATAGAACTGCATGCGTACATGTAAGACGCCGTTACGCTCGAAGGTTGAATGTGCAACTCGCTGTCTGCGACCACGCCGCGATTCCTCACCATATCCCTTTATTGGGGCGCCTAGTGCATCCTGTACACGTGGATCCTAGAAAAGATTATTATTCGAATATTCAACTAATAGCTTTCTCATGAACTTACTTCTTTTACTAGATCGAATGCGTCGGAATAAATATTATTCGGACTAGAACTGGAAAAAAGTTCGCGGAATATTGCGTAGAATACTATGCCGGTCACCCCAACCCCAGCCAGAATTATCGCTGTATAACTGGCAGTTTTTGTGTTTTCCTTAATTTTTTCACCCAGAGGCCGCACGTTTGTCGATATATCAGTAGGGCCAGTGGTTTCTTGTAAAGTGCGATTGGCATTCGGATCTTCCTTCCGCGTTTGGTAAAGGGGAGCCTGTGTCGTCGCAATCATGCGGCTCCATTTAACCTTCAATGTTGATGTTATGCTGGGATTCTTATGCAGCAGCTGACGTAGCACTATGAGTTGTGCCATTTCGGTAATTAAAAGTTTTATATTTTATAAAACTGCGATTATAAAACTTTTATTTGCCTACGAGCTAAATTAGAATATCCCAAATAAATAAAATTAAAGTCAGCTGTAAAAATATAGGTTCCACAATCAGCTGATTCCATTAGTTGCTGCCATATTTTCTGCATTTAAACTTTAAGCAGAGAACGTTATGGGTGTTATGCAGACAAACTTTTGTTTGCCAAATTAAATGGCGGCTGCTTAGTTTGCTCGGAGGTGGTTATGTCGAGTTTGGCACAGGATTTCACGTTCATTATTGTGGCGAATACTGCGGCAACACAAAGCGAACAACAAGAAATAGGCAGAATGTTCGAGGAATGACGTAGAATGTTCCACAAAG